TGTTAGTCATCTTGCTTTGTCTTACAAATCATTATGAAACTTTTCCTAGCTATTTACTATACATCAGACACAATAACTGCAATTACATACAACTCCTATTACATACATCTGTCAATATGTAAGCTATGGCTGAATCATCTGATATTTACATACTAATTTTCATACTTGATACTTGCATCCATATTCTTTCTTTGTTTATTCACATAGACCAGGGCCTATACTACAGATCATACACCTTCCTAGAAACCTGAAACACTGGAATTATTTTATTGTTCACAGTAATAGTTACCACATTCACAGGCTATGTCTTACCATGAGGAGAAATATTGTTGTGAGAAGCAACAGGAATCATAAACTTACTATCAGCCATTCCATGTATTGGTACTAACTTAGTAGAATGGATCTGAGGAGGCTTTTCATTTGACAAAGCTACCCTTACATGTTTCTTCACTTCCCACTTTATTTTGCTATTCTTAATTTCAGCCCTAGTTATTGTCCATCTCTGATTCCTGCACAAGACAGGATCTAACAACCCATCAGTGAAATTCCATTTCACCCCTACTATGTAATTAAAGACATCACAAGGTTTCTTTTCTCAGTGTTACTCCTACTTACTTTGTCTTATTCTCCCATGACCTTTTAGGAGACCCAGACAATTATACTCCAGGAAACCCTCTTAATACACCACCCTATATTAAATCAGAATGATATTTCCTATTTGCTTATGCAATTTTATGATCTATTCCTAGTAAACTGGGACGTGTCCTAACCCTTGCTCTTTCTTAGTCCAGGCAATCATTCCAATACTTATACTACCCAAGCAAGGAAGCATAATAGCCCAGCCACTATGCCAATGCTTATTCTGAATTCTAGTATCTGACCTTCTCACACTCACATAAATTGGATGCTAACCAGTAAAACACCCTTTTATTATTGGACAAGCAGCATCAATCTTATATTTTTTCCTTACTCTTGTATTTATACCACTTGCACACTTAATCGAGAATAAGTTTCTTAAATGAAGAGTTCTCGTAGTATAAATTACTTTGGTTTTGCAAACCAAAAGTGGAGAAAAATCTCTCCCCAGGGCAATCAAGGAAGAAACCGTTCACCTCACTATCAGCACCCAAAGCTGAAATTCTACATAAACTGTTCTCTGATTCTACTACTAGGAAACAAATAAATTATTAAGTACTCTGTCAGTATCAAAAGAATAAAAAAATACAACTACCCTATGTACATTGTGCATTATGTGCCTCTCCCCATTAATAATGTACTGGCACTATATAAGCTTCCTCATACATAGTACTTATACCAGGGTACTTCAAAAAGTTCATGGAAAATTTTGTATTAACTTTTAATTCTATTTTTCCACGAACTTTTAAAAGTACCCTCATATATTTTATCATACGTTAAATTCTATACCCCATGCGTACAAGCATGTACGATAACCCAACTGAAATATGAAAAGATGTTCTGTTTCATTTACAATACAGGAATAAATTAAAACTATATTTAAATGCCATTCTACCTTTTTTTTTTTTTTTGTCATACTTTAATCGCTCAGTTTTAGCCTCATATCGTGAGTTTATACTAAACATGATCATCTTTTCAGTCGTCTTTTGATCCCTACACAGTCATTACTGGTTAATTACTTGAAGGTTATATCTCCTCACTTGCCTCCTTTCCAACAATACAGCTATCATAATTAGGGGCACTTAGACTTCAGGAAGTCGGGTCCACGGAATATTTCGCTCGAGGACTCACGGAAAGATAAGGACAACTTATTACCACCCGGGAGCTCGGGACGCTGGGATTCGCTCTTCCAGGGCATTGAGGCGAGTATAGTCAAGACACTCCGCATAGTCCCTACACTTCCCTCTGGAAGGTGAGACTACGGATGTTTTTCTCCCCTGGGCATTCTGGGAAATGTGGTCCAGACGTTCCGTGGAGTCGCGGGCGCTTCCGCTCCGCCGGTGGATCGAGGGACTTCTGGGAAGTGCGGTCCAGACGTTCCGCGGAGTCGCGGGCGCTTCCGCTCGGCCGGTGGATCGAGGGACTTCTGGGAATTGCGGTCCAGACGTTCTGTGGAGTCGCGGGCACTTCCGCGTCCAGAGTGTGACCGTGTTTTGTGTGGTGGTTTCGCTCAGTTCCGCGTCTCGCGGGCCCACCTGAATTTCCTGGACCGAGGCGGAGACCCAGACAATTATACTCCAGGAAACCCTCTTAATACACCACCCTATATTAAATCAGAATGATATTTCCTATTTGCTTATGCAATTTTATGATCTATTCCTAGTAAACTGGGACGTGTCCTAACCCTTGCTCTTTCTTAGTCCAGGCAATCATTCCAATACTTATACTACCCAAGCAAGGAAGCATAATAGCCCAGCCACTATGCCAATGCTTATTCTGAATTCTAGTATCTGACCTTCTCACACTCACATAAATTGGATGCTAACCAGTAAAACACCCTTTTATTATTGGACAAGCAGCATCAATCTTATATTTTTTCCTTACTCTTGTATTTATACCACTTGCACACTTAATCGAGAATAAGTTTCTTAAATGAAGAGTTCTCGTAGTATAAATTACTTTGGTTTTGCAAACCAAAAGTGGAGAAAAATCTCTCCCCAGGGCAATCAAGGAAGAAACCGTTCACCTCACTATCAGCACCCAAAGCTGAAATTCTACATAAACTGTTCTCTGATTCTACTACTAGGAAACAAATAAATTATTAAGTACTCTGTCAGTATCAAAAGAATAAAAAAATACAACTACCCTATGTACATTGTGCATTATGTGCCTCTCCCCATTAATAATGTACTGGCACTATATAAGCTTCCTCATACATAGTACTTATACCAGGGTACTTCAAAAAGTTCATGGAAAATTTTGTATTAACTTTTAATTCTATTTTTCCACGAACTTTTAAAAGTACCCTCATATATTTTATCATACGTTAAATTCTATACCCCATGCGTACAAGCATGTACGATAACCCAACTGAAATATGAAAAGATGTTCTGTTTCATTTACAATACAGGAATAAATTAAAACTATATTTAAATGCCATTCTACCTTTTTTTTTTTTTTTGTCATACTTTAATCGCTCAGTTTTAGCCTCATATCGTGAGTTTATACTAAACATGATCATCTTTTCAGTCGTCTTTTGATCCCTACACAGTCATTACTGGTTAATTACTTGAAGGTTATATCTCCTCACTTGCCTCCTTTCCAACAATACAGCTATCATAATTAGGGGCACTTAGACTTCAGGAAGTCGGGTCCACGGAATATTTCGCTCGAGGACTCACGGAAAGATAAGGACAACTTATTACCACCCGGGAGCTCGGGACGCTGGGATTCGCTCTTCCAGGGCATTGAGGCGAGTATAGTCAAGACACTCCGCATAGTCCCTACACTTCCCTCTGGAAGGTGAGACTACGGATGTTTTTCTCCCCTGGGCATTCTGGGAAATGTGGTCCAGACGTTCCGTGGAGTCGCGGGCGCTTCCGCTCCGCCGGTGGATCGAGGGACTTCTGGGAAGTGCGGTCCAGACGTTCCGCGGAGTCGCGGGCGCTTCCGCTCGGCCGGTGGATCGAGGGACTTCTGGGAATTGCGGTCCAGACGTTCTGTGGAGTCGCGGGCACTTCCGCGTCCAGAGTGTGACCGTGTTTTGTGTGGTGGTTTCGCTCAGTTCCGCGTCTCGCGGGCCCACCTGAATTTCCTGGACCGAGGCGGAGACCCAGACAATTATACTCCAGGAAACCCTCTTAATACACCACCCTATATTAAATCAGAATGATATTTCCTATTTGCTTATGCAATTTTATGATCTATTCCTAGTAAACTGGGACGTGTCCTAACCCTTGCTCTTTCTTAGTCCAGGCAATCATTCCAATACTTATACTACCCAAGCAAGGAAGCATAATAGCCCAGCCACTATGCCAATGCTTATTCTGAATTCTAGTATCTGACCTTCTCACACTCACATAAATTGGATGCTAACCAGTAAAACACCCTTTTATTATTGGACAAGCAGCATCAATCTTATATTTTTTCCTTACTCTTGTATTTATACCACTTGCACACTTAATCGAGAATAAGTTTCTTAAATGAAGAGTTCTCGTAGTATAAATTACTTTGGTTTTGCAAACCAAAAGTGGAGAAAAATCTCTCCCCAGGGCAATCAAGGAAGAAACCGTTCACCTCACTATCAGCACCCAAAGCTGAAATTCTACATAAACTGTTCTCTGATTCTACTACTAGGAAACAAATAAATTATTAAGTACTCTGTCAGTATCAAAAGAATAAAAAAATACAACTACCCTATGTACATTGTGCATTATGTGCCTCTCCCCATTAATAATGTACTGGCACTATATAAGCTTCCTCATACATAGTACTTATACCAGGGTACTTCAAAAAGTTCATGGAAAATTTTGTATTAACTTTTAATTCTATTTTTCCACGAACTTTTAAAAGTACCCTCATATATTTTATCATACGTTAAATTCTATACCCCATGCGTACAAGCATGTACGATAACCCAACTGAAATATGAAAAGATGTTCTGTTTCATTTACAATACAGGAATAAATTAAAACTATATTTAAATGCCATTCTACCTTTTTTTTTTTTTTTGTCATACTTTAATCGCTCAGTTTTAGCCTCATATCGTGAGTTTATACTAAACATGATCATCTTTTCAGTCGTCTTTTGATCCCTACACAGTCATTACTGGTTAATTACTTGAAGGTTATATCTCCTCACTTGCCTCCTTTCCAACAATACAGCTATCATAATTAGGGGCACTTAGACTTCAGGAAGTCGGGTCCACGGAATATTTCGCTCGAGGACTCACGGAAAGATAAGGACAACTTATTACCACCCGGGAGCTCGGGACGCTGGGATTCGCTCTTCCAGGGCATTGAGGCGAGTATAGTCAAGACACTCCGCATAGTCCCTACACTTCCCTCTGGAAGGTGAGACTACGGATGTTTTTCTCCCCTGGGCATTCTGGGAAATGTGGTCCAGACGTTCCGTGGAGTCGCGGGCGCTTCCGCTCCGCCGGTGGATCGAGGGACTTCTGGGAAGTGCGGTCCAGACGTTCCGCGGAGTCGCGGGCGCTTCCGCTCGGCCGGTGGATCGAGGGACTTCTGGGAATTGCGGTCCAGACGTTCTGTGGAGTCGCGGGCACTTCCGCGTCCAGAGTGTGACCGTGTTTTGTGTGGTGGTTTCGCTCAGTTCCGCGTCTCGCGGGCCCACCTGAATTTCCTGGACCGAGGCGGAGACCCAGACAATTATATTTACTGGTCTTTTCTTATTCCTTTATGTAATAAGCTGTTTGAACAAAGTAACCAAAGTAGTAGGCAACCTTCTTTTAAAATGTCCAGTGATATGAGAAGATTTGCCAGTGACTTGTGTTCTGCTACTGCATTTAACCCTCAGAGCAGTTGAATGAGGCACGTCTTTGTCTCATCTTCATCTTAAGCATGTGAAATATGACAAACCTGCTCAGGTTCACAGAGGAAACCAAGGGTCAGGAATGTTACCCATTCTGCTCAAATGAAAGAGAGACAAAAAGAAAGACAGAAAGAATTCTCCATTGAGAGGCCCATGCTGGGTGACCTCTTGTCTTTTTGATGTGGCACTTTCTCGGGTGCACTCAGAGCTCCAGACATACAAAGATGACAGTTGCCATAGTCTTTATAGAAAATCTTTAAATTCCTCTATTGCAAAAGATACCTTACACAATTTACCAGAAAAAATAATTACCTGGGGTGCAAATATTTAACCACAGGGATACCTAAGGAAGGCAAAATCCATAATAAAAAATTTATGCACAGAATAAAGAAAAAAATCAAAACTAATAGGAGCAAAGACACTGATAGGCAAGTTTAAAAGTAGAACTAGAGATGGCCAATAAAAATTTGAAAAGGTGATGGCATTCATTTATAATCAAATAAATGAGAATGGAAAAATGAATTGTTCTTCCTAATCAGATTACCAAAACCATGGGAATATTTATAACCTGCTCTTAGCAGTCGTAAGGGTAACCAGGGTACTTGTATTCTTTGGAAAGATTAGGGAGGTAGGTAAAAAAAATTGGGAAAAAAGTCTGCAATTATATGCTCACAATTTAAAATTTCTTATTTTTTGACATTTTAATTTTCATTTGAAATTATTTTAAATAATTAAGCAGGACGGTAAGACCTATATAATGTTCTTTATAGGACTGATAATAATCAAAAATATGTAAAATTAAATATTCATTATTTAGAATAGCTAAAAATGGGTCATCAGTTTCC